ATGAGTTTTTTCATTCACAATTTCATACAGTTAAAGTTAGGAAAATAGTTATATTCGTGTGGTTTAAACTATTTATTAACTAGTATATATACATGGCTTTCTAACAACATGTGAACCTCTAAAACATTAAAAAACAAAAGAGAGTTTTGTGAGAGTTGTTTAGAAAGGTAGTCTAAGATTGTTGAAAAGTTTTTTTTTTCTTTTCAATTTTTATTAATATATTTGATTATTTTTTTTCACAATTTTATGTATGTTATGATCCCATTTTTTAACAGGTGATACGGGCTTCAATTTAAGGTTTTTGATGGAGAATATTGAGCGTGAGATCACAGTTCAAATCACACTACCTTATGAGAGAGGGCGCATTAAATGCCACATAAGGTTAAAACTAATACCACCTCATCATCACACATATTATCTAGTTTTTACTTTCTTTTTTAAAATTATATCTTTTCTTCAATTATTATATTTGTTAAATTCAACCAAGAACGAACAATTTATTTAATGTCATGATTAGATTTACTATCAATAACTTATACTCAGGAAACCAAAGATTTTTAAATGATATCAATTATTTTGTGAAAGAGGTTATTTTTTACTAAGTCACCATTGAATGACACATATTAACCACTTAAGTAGAAAATAGTTAATTTTGATTATTAGTTATAACATTTGTTCCAATTGATAAGTGATTAGTTTAATAATTGATATCATATCAAGATTATAAGTTTGATTTATAGTAAGATAATTAGTAAGAAAGAGATTGTTGAAGGTGATACTAATTATCATAGAATCAAGTTATAGTCAAATTATCATATTTGGGATAGTGTGCTTTTAAATAAAAAGAATCACACTTTAATTATTTGTTATAATTTTTGGCATAGTGACAACGTTCAGTTTGATAAAAGATAGATAACATTCTCAATTGTAGATAGGATTAAATATATTTTTAGTCCCTAAATTTTTATGTAAAATTAAAATTTGTCCATGTTCTAAACTTTGATACAATTTGGTCTCTAAACTTTAAAAATAAATAGATATAGTTCTCCTAACTAAAATGTGTTAAATATTTTTGATATGTCAAATGACGTTTTAGGCTGACGTTTTAGTTGTATACTCGTTTTACGCATTATATTTTTTCACTTTTAAAATTTGATGACCAAATTATATCAAAGTTTGATGACTAAAAATATATTTAACTTTATTAAATATTATCTAACTTGAGAATTGAAATATCTAAATGGATGTCCACTCACACAAAAACAAATTAAACTTAACAAACCAACATTGTCATTCACTCAATTAAATAAGGTGAAAGGAATGGAAGTTAATTTTTTATTGATTTGAATTTTCTTTTAGAAGAATTAGAATCTAGTAGACCCATATCATGTTGTACTTGTGATGTTCCTTCTAGTTGTAATCTATCTAAGATTTCTATCAAATAAGAAAAATGAAATGTTTGCTTTCTAAAAAACACTCATAACATTGTGAGAATACAAGTTCTTTTAATAGAATTCCTTCCAACATCAATCGAGTCTTATCCCTTGTCATGCAACAAAAAAGATAAAAAAGACAAGTTGTTAGCATCATTATGTAGAAACAAAAATCTTGTCCAACACTATTGATAAACTGAATCATTGAAAGCAAATACATAGCTGAAAGTTTCAAGGATGTGGTGTTGGCTTACGTGGTCGAAGAAATCCTAATTGTGGGAAATAATGCTCCTATTGCCACAAAATGAACCATATTGTGGATGAGTGCTAAAGGGTGACAAAATGACTAGAATTATGTCAATGTTTGCAGAGATGTCTCTACCTCTACAGAGACCTAAACCACTCAACACGTCAACACTAACGATTCTCTTAGTTCCTTCACTCCAAAATAGACACACAATTTACTAAAGATAATAGAAAGTACTAACAATTCCTCACACAGTGTCAATGAAGTGTAGTGAAACACATTAATAGACAAACAAGGTGTTTTTTCCTAGATTATAGACATATGAGCCATTGATCATCTTACCCATGAGAAAAATATTGTCACTTTCCATCAAATAAAACCTATAATGGTCAAACTATTTAACGACTTGGTTGCCACCGCTCAACGTGCGGGGACCATTCAATTTTAAAAAAAAATCATTATTTTTAATGTCCTACACATTGTGATTTTTCTTTCTACACTCTAACATTTTTCTCTTATATGTGTTAGATTTAGGAGAACTTTACCTTAAAGATGATTATTGTGCTAATGTTAGATACAACGTTTTTTTTTTCTTTGCTATTGATTCTCATATTCAGATAAAGGTTTTTAACAATTCAGATTGAACTACTTGTTCAAATACTAGAAGATTCACTGCAAAGATCTGTATTTTCTTAGGATCTTTCCTCATATCGTGGAAATCTAAGAAATTCCACTAAAGCAGAATATTATACCTTATTACTAGCGTGTGAAATACAATGATTTTATTGTCTCTTTCATGATCTTCATATCCAAACAACTGTCTACTTTATATTGCGACAACAAGTCAACCAAATATATTGCTCACAATCATAGTTTTCACTAAAGCCCTGTTCTTTTGAGTGGGTTTGAGGGAGTGAATTTGAGGGGATTTGAGAGGCTTTGAAGATAATTTTTTTTTGTCGTTTCTTTGAGTGAATTTGAAGGTAAATGAGAGTGAATTTAAAAATAAAATTTGTGAAAATTAGTATAGAATTGTATTGACGTGACAAATTAAAAAAATTTATTTCCAAATTCACTCTCGTTTACTTCCAAATTCACTCAAATAAACTATAAAAAAATTTATCTTCAAATCCTTTCAAATTCCCTCAAATCCACTCCCTTAAATCTACTCAAAAGAACAGGGCCTAAAAGACGAAACCTATCGACTTAAACGCTCACCTTGTGATGAAAAAATCCAAGCTAATCTCCTACATATTTTTTCGATGACAATTGGCAGATATCTTCATCAAGTTTCCTCCGTGCGTTTATTTTCGATATATCATTTCCAAGATCGGTGGTGAACATATACCATCAACTTAAGGGAGACGGTTGAAATTGCTGAATGAATTATTGCTTAGAAACATTAATCAGTTTGGTTTTCAATTTTTTTCCCCTTATTCCCCTTTTTGCTTGTACATGATAACACACAGATGTCGATCAAAGAGTAAGTTCAGCTTTCTCCTTACCTGTTTTCCCCCTTTTTTCTTTGCACGGTTTCTCCAGCCATGGAAGCTCCTGCTACTACCGCAAGTCCTATGCCATCTCTGATATATCCTAAAATTAAACCACAAGTTAAAAGTAAACAAAAAAAAAATTACATCTGTAGCACACCATGTACAATAACTTGGTATAATTAAGTACACCTGCAAAATTCATAGATAAAAAATAAATCATACAAACATCCTTATAAAATTATTAGAAGCAAATTCCGTTCTATTTCTAATATCATTCAACGTATGCACCATGATTAATTTGTTTCTGCTGAAAGGATCAGAGAAACTTCTGCTGCTACCGCTCGAGAATGCTCCTCCTTCACCGATCGGTCTTTCTCGGTTCCGCCTGTCTCTTCCTCTCGCAATGCCAAAGTGGGGTGACAAAATTAGCCAAATCCGACTTACCTCCTTGATCTCCTGTTATTTATAGGGTTTCAAGAAATATTATCTATTAATTTACCTCGACGATCAATACTCACCTTAACTGCTCGACAATAACCGTTATTTCCTTAATTATGCATTCATTGACATTCAAAAGGTTGTCTCCAGACAACGGTTGTCTCCAGCCAACGGTTGGAGAATTCGCGAGTATCACCCTGGCGTCCGACCGGAAATGATCGGCTTCCATCACCCTTACATACCCGGTCAGTTGGATTAATACCTTCATCGATTAAGCATATCCGGTCGATCCATCCTACTTAGTAATAACACATAATTAATTAAAAAAACGCCTCATTTTCATATTCTTCAATCATATTTAAAGCTGAATTCTAGGCAAGTTTTATATACATCCCCATGTGCATGTACGACTTATGATAAAAAAAATACGCAAATGCTTGGAATAATATTTTATATACATCTTCCATAGTGTAAGCGTACTCTCTTATTTCCAGTTCAAATCTCAATAGTTCTTAATGTTTTGTTACGAATAAAATATTAAATAATAAAATAAAGACATTTCACCGCTTAACAAACATCTAATAGTTTATTTATCTAACAAACGAGAAGACTAATTGGATCTAATAATTTATTTACATAACAAACAAGAAGACTAATTGGAGAACATCTAATAATTTATTTATCTAACAAACATCTAATAATTTATTTATCTAACAAACACGAAGACTAATTCAGAAATAAAAAGTAAAATAAATTAATGCAAGAAAATATTTACTTCCTTTAATTTTAAATTTTATAATTTGTCTTTATAAAGGATTTTTTTTCTCTTTTATATGTTACTCAATTTTTTTTTTACAATATGTTACTCAACGTTCATTCATACGGAAACTGTATATATTGAATGGTAAGCATGACATAGGAATATATTCATCAGCTGAACTAGAGTATAAAGTAGCTTGTGAAACTCTTATGAAAGGAGTATGGATGAAATCAGATAGCTCACGGGGATTTACACTCGTTGGAGCATATAATAGACATCTTCATTTTAAATTTCAAACAATAAAAAATATTTTGATGGTTTAACAATTAAAAAAAAAAAAACTTTACAATGCTTTAATGTTATCTATTTTAATTTTACATTGAATTAAAATTGAATTGGCAACTAACAACAAAGATTAAAATATAAAACTTGTAGATAGAAGAATTAAAACGCCAAAGTTTTAATTAAAAAATACTAAAAAAATAGAAAATGTACACATACTAAAACGTAAAATTTTTGTCAGGACGAATTTTTTTTTATATAAATTAAATTATTTAAAAGTAAATTAAGATAAATTAAATATAATTGTCTTGCATTATAATAAGTAAACACGATATATATTAATAAATTATAACAAAAAGATACTGCAAACAGAACATTGAAAAGAAGTAAGTGAAGAATCAGAGAAAGAGGACACACATAAAAAAGAAACAAGAAAGGAACAAGATTATGAGGTGAGACATTTTAATACTATGTTGTCTGCCAAACAGAGCAAACTGTTTGAATAAAAGCGAGAATAAGGAGAATAACTGCAGAAAAGGTAGCAGCAGTTTGCCAAGGTCCTCTACAGTAATCACGTCTGAGAGTTGACTTCAATTTAAGACTTCGACTTTTATACAAAGCATCCAAGTCTTGCCAAAGAGAAATGTAATCAGAACTAAAATCTGAGAGAACGATATTTCTGCAAAGACGTTTAGTCTTTTCTGCTGCAACATCACTGTCACCTAATAAATTCTCCATAATTCCCTCTTTAACCAGTATATCCACATCCTTCCCTGAGTTTACTAGATATTGCAGAAGAAGAGCATACTCTGTTATGTAGGCTTCTTTGGGATAGTGAAACTGCTCCAAAGCCACCATGTTGCGAAACCACAGTTCGGTGTTATCAGTCATTTTGAATTTTGGGATTTTAAGAACCCGTTTTGAAAAACTCAAGTTCAGTAAGCAATTAGTTTTGATGCTTGCAAACCTTATTCCTGCTTCTGACAACTTAGTGACACTAGGGATATGTGGCCATGTGTGGAAAATCCTTGTGGTTTTTTCTCTTTCATATAAATGAAATGTTCGTAACAGATCCGTGAAGTGATGACATGTAATATGGCTATGTGACAGATTGGACTTATTGAAATACTGAAAATATTCAAACGTAAGCTGGATAAATGATGTGGTGTCATCGTCGACAGACAAACCGAAGAGATCATTGAGAACAAAAAAAGGAAGTTGGTTCTCGAGCAACAACAGATCAGAAAATATTGCATTTTCAAACCATGGTGTTGAGAGATACGTCTCGGATGTCCTATAGTGGTGAGCTATCCAAAAGAGTTCGAGTATAAAACCTGAATCGACGCATATTATCTCTACCAGTTTTTTCGTGTTGAATTGAATTGCGTCTGAGTAGCATTTACGAATTTGAGGTTCCTTACCTGCGATATATTTGATCCAAGTTTCCATATTTGTGTTGGTTCGTTGGAGAAATGACTTGCAATACATTACTTTGTGTCTTTCCATGTTCCGAAGACGGTGGGTGTTATGATGATAAGGGCCGATGGAAACAACCTTTGGGGTGTAAGCTTTTTGGTTGAGTTGGCGAATAAGTAAGGGTACTCTGTAGATGCAGCACGTTTTAGTTATTGGTGAGTTTGCTCTCTCCAACACTCCTTTAACATGGATCACAACATCATCCATGTTCATCATTCTACTAATCTATCTCTTTTTTCTTCTGATCCATCTATTTATCATATGTCAACACACCTAAACTTATGGTGCTTTTTTTATTTTATATTTACATAATTCATTAGGATATATTTTTTTTAGTCAAGTTGTAAGAGTTTTTTTTAATCAGGAAGACAAAATAGAGTCCACTAACACCATGGAAGACAGCACCATTTTCCAAGCATTCACACGTTATCTAACTATCCGTAATATTTTTTTTATCGTAAGTCGTACATGCACATGGGGATGTATATAAAAATTGCGTAGAATTTCACCTTTAAATATATTTGAAGAATATGAAAATGGGGCATTTTGTTAATTAACTAATCATTGTGTATATGTTGACTGATTTTAGAAATAGAACGGAATTTGCTTCCAATAATTTCATAAAGATGTTTGTATGATTTATTTTTTATCTATGAATTTTGCATGATTGGTGTACTTAATTATACCAAGTCACTGTATTACAGATGTAATTTCTTCTGGTTATCTTTAACTTGTGGTTTAATTTTAGGATATCTTGACATGCTCACATAATATACATTTAGGACAAAGTGTACTTAGGAGGAGTGAAAAAGGTATTATGGGATTTGAATTGGCCACTAGACCCAAACCAGGAAAATAATCAACTATACTAACATAGTTATTTATATTGAAATGATACACTACACGCATGTATATTGGACTATGCCCAACATAAATAAAATTTTGAACTAAAATAATAATACAATTACCATACATTATGACCAAACATCCTTAAATCAATTACCATGCTGCTGAACAAATTTTTTTAGCTTCCTAAAGTAAGATTGCCATCTATTTGGTTTACGAAGGAGATATATCAAATGAAAAATACACTCATTTAACACATTACTTTTTAGTTTTTTCCTGTGAAAGTGTTAAATGAATGGAATGGTGTCAACCTACTATTGTCTTTGTGATTACAAACATCCATAGACAAATGAAGGGCACACGACAGAAGAATTAAGCCACCAAATATCCTTTCAAAAATGTCTTCTCCCACCATTATCATCACCAAACTGTAACTTGATGTAAAACAAAATCTCTACTGACTTTCATTTTCATAAGTTAAACGCAACGGTATGCATATGTCTAGTAAAGATTGGGCACAAGATATATAAGAATTTGTGGTATATATGATTAAGATTTTACAGGGAGGAAAGATGAAGAGAAACGGTTAGAAAGCTGCTGGAATTACGAATGCATGCATACCCGTGCTTTTGTCGATCATACTCATACTGAAGGTGTATCAGATATTGTTCTGTGATAAAAGAAACCCTTAGCTCACAAGAAATGAGTATTAATTATTCTGATTCTCTCAAGAAAAGCATCAAGCAAGAGATAAAACTTTCGGACAAAGACTCAAAATTTAATCGAAAGAAAGGAATCGTGTAATTCTGCATATTTCTCCACTCAGATTATTCCATCTTTGTTCATCACATTTCAACGACATTACGCATTTCTCTGATTTTCTTTTTCTATCATCCACGTATCAGAAGGATTCTGCATTTTCTCTGGGGTTTTGTTTTCTGGACATACTAAGTGATCAGAATGACGAACCACAGGGACCAGAAGGACGTTGTGATCGATATAAGGAAGAAGCTGAAGGAGGCAGGGCCACCAATAACTAAAAAGTGTAGCATATACAGAGTGCCCTTTGATATCCGCAAACACAGAGTAGATGCATACACCCCAAAGATTGTTTCTATAGGCCCTCTTCACCACAACACTCATCCTGGCCTTCAAAACATGGAAAGACACAAACTCATTTACTGTAACTCATTTCTTGAACGAACCCAAACAGATGTGGACACCTGGATCCGCTACATAGAAGGGATAGAGCCTGATTTGCGCCGCTGTTATTCAGAAAAGCTTGAGATCAGCAAGGAGGAACTGGTGAATATAATCTTGGTGGATTCTGGTTTTATATTTGAGCTTTTCCGGAAAGACTATTGCAAGGACTGGTCTGAGAATGACACATTTATTTCAATTCCCTTGATAAGGGACACTGTAGCAGTAGATTTGTTCTTATTTGAGAATCAGATTCCATTTCATGTTCTCACCGATCTTTTCAAACTCTCTCGCACCACTGGATCTGATGCTGGTAACAACGCCATTCCTTCATTTGATGAACTTACCTTTCACTATTTTGATTTTTACAACAAACCTAAGTTGAAATTCGATGATAAAAGTATTAGCATAAGTCACTTCACGGATCTAGTTAGAACTTTCCACTTGCAACATCCTCAGAAAAACCGACCTTCTAGGGATAATGAATTACTGAAACATGTTCCTACTGCTAACGAGTTGTCAGAAGCAGGTGTGAAGTTTAAGGTTCTCAACAGCGTCTGTTTGCTAGACTTGAAATTTTCAGGAGGAGTTCTTCAAATGCCGCGGTTGAAAGTGGAAGATCGTACTGAGGTTTTGTTTCGAAATATGGTGGCTTTGGAGCAGTGTCACTATCCTCTAGAATCCTACATTACAGACTATGTTTGTCTTTTTGACTTCCTTATAAACAGCAGCAGAGATGTGGATACACTGGTCCAACAGGAAGTACTGGTGAACTGGACAGGAGACACTGATACTGTGGTCAATCTGTTCAATAGTCTTGGCAAAAATATTACACAGTCAAACATGAATTCAAATTACCTTACTGTCAGCCAAAAATTGAATGTTTTTTATCGTAATATCTTTAATAAGATGAAATCCACTCTGAGACGTGATTATTGCAACAGTCCTTGGCAAACTGCTGCTACCATTGCTGCAATTGTTCTCCTTGTTCTCTCTGTCATTCAAACAGTTTGTTCTATCATCGGTGTACTCCCGAAAGAATAGATTCATGCCTCTATCTCCTTGAAGACCTGATCAATTCAGTTATTTTTACATGTTACATGCTAATTGTTGTGAGTGTTTTTTTTTAATCATTTCAATTTCGGTGTTTCAATGGTTTCCTCACTTGGAGTGTTGTAATTGATTATTCTTATGATGCTAAGCGTAAAGCTTGGTGATGCTCTCAAAGAATATTATGCAGAACATGATCTAATCTAATGTAATTAGTTTCGCTGGGACTGCAGAGATCTGAAATAAAGATAATGTCTTGAAAAGAGATTGTTCTATCTGCATGATATTTTTTTTTTCAATTTATTATATTAATTTCTATTATTATACGAATAAAGAAAATTGTCATATAAAATTTTCGTTCAAATTTAATGTTTTCCTTTTACTTACAGTATGGCATCGACATTTTCTCTTACAGGTCATACTGATAATATTATTCTTTAAATTTTACTTCACAATAAAAGATTAATTTGATATTTAAACTTGATACTTTATTATTAATGCTCCCACCCTTCTAGAATTTTAAAATTTATATAGCATCTTTTAAATTGTGTCAACCATTGATAAAAGTAGATAACATTTTTGTGGTTTATCAATTAATTCATCTTATTTTAATTATGTATAACTACGATGGAAATATTATTTTCCGCAATAAAGATCACTAAAATAAATTACAAATTACAATAAGCTGCCAGTTGGATATTGCTTGTCCGTTTTTGGTTTTTGCGTTCTACTTTACTTTAAATTGTTTAGTTTATCTGGGAGAAATGGACTAATTAACCAAACTAAACTACCAATTAATTTAACCAATTTGATTGGGGATTCTAATAAATATATCTAACAGTGATCTTTTACAATAATTTCTTTAATAATTTTTGTGGGTATCACGTTCTTACATTACTTTTACTTTTAAGATATTCGTATTATCTTTTGTTCTAAAAGTAAAAAAAAAAACAAGAAGCAAAACACTTAGCCTTTTCTATTTTTTATTTTCACTTACGTGCCTTTCCATAAATTATACTTATACATTCTGTAACACCCTCTTTATTTTATAATATAGATATACTAACGTTAAATTTTAGTAGAAGTTCTAAAATCTTCAGTTTTTCTTTAATGATATAATAATTTAACCTCAACATTATAATTTTCTTAAGAAAAAATATTATTTTAATTAGGCTTAATTATTTTTTATTTTTTTCTAATTTTGACTGAAAAGTTACAAATTTGTTTTTATTTTTTTATTAGGTTCTAATTTTTGAAAAATTAATTCAATTAAATAATTTCCGTTAATAATATACCAACAATCAACAATGTTACATGTCAGTTTAGAGTCTTTTATTTATTATAATTTTAATTATTTTTTAATATTTTTTATCTAAACTTTTTTTTATTATGTGTCAAGTATGTTGCATATCATGTAACGTAGCAATGTTACATTTCACTGTCACATGTAATGTTATGTGTTAATATTATCATTAAATATTATTATTTTGTATTTAATTTAATATGTATATATATGTTCTTTTATTTAATTTAATTTTAATTTTTTTAAAATAAAATAATATTTTGTTTCTTTAAATTAAAATAAAATTTATTATTTATATAAATATTATATTGATATTTTTATTAATGGTAGGAGGAGAAAATGTTAAAAAATATGAATTGGGTTGTAGTGGTAAGAGTGTGTTGCTTGGTAAAAAAAACAAAAATGGGAGCGTGTAGGAATAAAAGAAATTGGCCTAATAAAATAAAATCGAGGTGTAAAAAAAGGGATGGTGTGGGAATGAAAATGGACTTGAACTCAACAAAAAAATCTAATTTAATATTTTTATTAATTGAATTTTTTAATTAAAAAAATTAATTAATTAATTTTTTTAATATTTTTTTTAACTTTGAGGAAACTTTATTTTACCCCTTTTAGTTAAAGGTCTACTTTTGAAATTTTTTATAAATAATTTTTTACTTCGGACCAAATTGGATGTTAAGAGAATAACAAATGCAAAATTACGAGCTAGAGTGAATGCATACACAATAAAATCAGCATATAAAACTTATTTTAGCAAAGTGAACTGAAAAATCTTATACCATACTCTTCTAATTCTCTTAACAATAGATATGATAGAGTAGACCATTCGGATCGGACACGGACAATGTCTATCCGCAATCTGATCCGATAAAAACACTTCATCTATTATTCGATTTGCTATTCGCACGGATACTTGCTTAAAAAATATCTGTAGGTATTTAAAAACTTGTGGATACCCATGGATACCCGTTGATACTCGCAAATATTTAAAAATGTATATTTTATAAATTATTAAAATAAAATTTAAATAAAATTACAAAAAATATATAAAATATAATATAAATTAAATTTTAATTTTAATTAAATTAACCTTATAAATATAAATTAATGTTAATTTTAATTAAATTTAACTTAATAAAATATAAATTAAATTTAACTTAATAAAATATAAATTAAATTTTTATTTTTATTTTTTTCAGATATCAAATATACGCGGGTACAAATAGTATAATATATACATTCAACTCATTTATTAATGGATATTAAAATACCTACCACCTACAATCCGCAGGTAATAAATATAAGCAGATACCAATTATCTGTCGCAAATTTTATCTGCCAGAATTTTTTGCCATCCTAATAATGAAAGACGAGAATTGTTAGGTGTATATTTAATTATATAAAAACTTTAAATATTGTGATATGTATTTAAAACTCTTTTTAGTTTTATTATGTAATATTAATACTTTTAATTTTTATATTACTATCTACTGCGTTATAAATTAGAGTTGACAATTATTCCCACTATAAAATTGTTTACAAGGTCAACATATTGTACACTGAATTAGTCACTAGTATTTCGACAAAAGAAATATTTAAATTTGTTATTTAACTATTGAAATATTTTGGTCACTAAACATTTTTATTGTTTATCATAGAAGCTATTTTATTTAAACTAAAAATCTCACATCTTAGCAATCGAAAACTATATAATATTATTATACAATTCACATCCTGAACAAATTAACAACGGAAATTATTTTTCAATTTAATAAAATTTGTCCCATTTTCAACCGAAGAATTGGCTGCTGTATATTTTTATTTCAACCACTCAATTAACAAACGAAAAATTTGTCAAATTAATGAGCATAATTACGAACATGTTTTGATCATTAAATTGGCCTTCAATGTTTGGATATGACTAATTTTTTAATAACCGATCAACAATAAAAATTTAATAATCATTTAAAGATGGAATTAAAAGTTAATCAATAATTACTTTAAAATTAAAGTTTTTTTTCACATTTAACAATGGAATTAAAGTTTCTTTTGTCAATAAATTGCATATAGGACTAGTGTAAAAACAACGTATAACGTTACAAAAATAGCCAACGTAAATAAATGATTAGTGACATTTTTGTAAATAAATGCAATTATTAGAGGTAGTTTAGGATTGTAATTCGACGTCAATTTATATTGGGTAAATTTTGTGAGAATGTTTGGCGTGAAGGTGAAAATGTATTTATGTATAGGATTAGACGTAAAAAGGATATAAAACGTCGAATGCCCAGGTTAAAATGTTAGTGAATTCAATAAAAATTTGAGTGGAAGATTTAAAATTCATTCAGTTTATCTTAGCGCGCTCTTTGCTTTTCTGGAACAAAGTTTGACGATCATCACATGTAATTTTTTTTTCATTTGTTACAAATGAATGTTAATTAATTACTTTTGTTTTGACCGATTATTTTCGTGTTCTTGTCTTTCATAGGTGCATTCTGTTTTCTCTTTCAGTGGTGACAGCCCTTTATTTCAATGAATCCACATTTTGAAGGTTAGTTTTTCGTTTTGAAGAATTGATTTGTTGAACTTGTTTGTTGTTTTTTGTTGAACTTGTTTTTTGATGTTTGGTTGAATCTGTTTGTTTTTGTTGTTTTATTGAACTTGTTTGTTATTTTGTTATTGTTGTTTGTTATTATTGTTTGTTATTGATACACTACACGTTCATGTTTTATAAAATACCAAAAACTGAAATTTGTTATTTTTTTGCTTTTCAGGTCTAGTAGAATTGTGAAAAAAATCACAATTAATTAAAAAATAAATAAAAAAAATTAATTAACCTCGAGTATTGACAAAATTTGAAGTTAATTTGTTTCACTGTTAACGTCGAATTGTTCTATATTTGACTTCAATTTAACGTCTCCCTAATATCAACTTCAAATTCAACGTGAAAGGCCGAAAAACACGTGTTTTTGTAAATGTAGATTTAACTAATGATATTTTAACAAATTGTTAAACACGCAAGTAATATTCATTGCGAAGATATCATTATTTTTATGTAAATCCCAGTAACATCACACTGTGTCATAAATGCAGTAAAATTGTAGCTAAATAATGTCTGTAGCCACATTTTAGCCAAAAAAAAATTTGTAATTCAAACCGTATTTAACCAATAATATAGCAATCTTGAATTCGGTAATAAAGTGGAAAATAATATAATCATCTGAGCCAGCTAACTAACGCAATCAACACCTTATTAAAAGCCATCACATGTATATGTAACATTTTGACATAAGCTATGATATCTGCTTTATGTATTATTATATGACTGTGCTCATTCGAACACGATAACTACTTATTTGTCCTACTCTAGCATGGCAATAAAGAAAAGTACAACAAAATTTTGGTTAAATACTATCACACTTGCAGTTTTCAGCGCTCATAACAAGTATGCATGAAGATGGACAGATGTAAACGGTCACAAATATGTTTTTTTTTGGCATATGATAGCTTGCATTGAATTTAGACTTTTTGGAACTTAAACTAGACCTATTCAAAACTAATTACATATACTAAGAGATAACAAAAACAAACAATAAAATAAAATTAATAAACTTATATGAACGTTAAAGAGAAGAGCCATGCTAAAATAGCACATTCAGAAGAAAATGCATACCTAAGATGTCTTGCTATACATATGCAAAAGATTATAACTATAGAGCAATAACTATAATATAAGATAACTTTTATTGGAACTTATAAGTGTTATAATTGTCCAAATTATAACACTTATAAGTGATTTGTACACCGTATTACCTTTATATTTTTATTGAGATGATTATGATTTTTGTTAGTAAACTCTCGTTTAAATTAGATATATTCGGACTGCATATGAACATTTTTTTTTCTATGATAAAATCATTCAATTTTTATTTTTAAAAATATTTAATTTTATGTTCTAAAAATTTAATTTTAATTTTCATAATTTTTGTATGTAAGTTCTGATGAATTTTATTTTTAAATAAAAAGGGAGTTGAGAGACATTTAAATAAAAATATAAAAAAACAGTGTCATTTATTAAAATATACAAAAAGTAAATAAATATACGATTAAAGTAATGTAAACTCATTTTATTAAAAAGAGACACATGTTTATTTTTAGATTAGAAAGAATATAAATATAATTTAGATAATATATATTGCAAAAATGGAAAATCATAAGTTTTTACATTATGTTTAAATTCAGAAAAAGTCCAACTGTACTTACAATAATTTCAGCTTTGATAAAAAAAAATCTATTAATAATCTCTCATCGTAACGATGATCCTTGAGCATTGTAGAACTAGTTGCTTATATAATTCATTACGTGGAAACTACGTTAAACAGAATATGTCTCCTTACACCAAACAACTTTAATATTTATTTCCATTTTCTTTGGCAACAAAATAAAAAAATATAATTAAAATATTAATATAATGAGTTTTCTTCAGGTTATAGTTTTCGAGGAGATACCAAAATACTAAAATATGATCTCACTTTCTTTGTAATCGAACACACGTTATGTCTATTTCTTGGTCTATTTGTACCAAAGAGGGTGGAAAGTGTCTGTGCATAGGGTGAGAGACAGAGTTCGATTATTTAGATAAGTAGAATGATGAACATGGATGATGTTGTGATCCATGTTCAAGGAATGTTGGAGAGAGCAAACCCACCCGTAACTGAAGAGTGCTGCATCTACAGAGTACCCTTACTTATTCGCCAACTCAACGAAGAAGCTTACACCTGTGTGTGTCTGCGTGTGTGATCCTTGACCTGGTTCCTCTCAAATAAAATTGGTCTTTTATTCCTTTAATTTTCAATTGTTAATCTGTTAATATAACACACGGTATACATTGGTACGTAGATTAAATTATTTATTATGTTTATGTCAATAAAATAATTTGCAAAGAAAAAGAAATGAGCAAAAAAACAAAACTAAAATAAACCTGACATAATTGATGGCATTGAAATTACTAAACACGGTACATTAATAATTGGTAGCAAAATGACACACCAAACACAACATAAAAAAGAGAACTAGGTTGCTCTTAATTAAGCAACAAGACAAAGAGATCATGATACAATAAAGCTAAAAAAAAGGTACAAATGAAAAAAAAAAAACATAAACAGCAAACAAAGAAAGAGGAAAGAGTTATTGAGCAGGTATTGACTTCTAACGCTTGTATAGTTCCGAGATAGAGCAAAGTGTTTGAACAAAAGAGAGAACAAGAAGAACCATTGCAGCAATTGTAGCAGCGGTTTGCCATGGACCTTTACAATAATCACGTTTCAAAGTTGACATCAATTTACGACAGGGATTTCTACAGAAAGCATTCAAGTCTTCGCAGAGACGAAAGTAATGGCAACTAAAATTTGTCTGCAGTACATTTTTCCCAAGACCATTAATCATTTTAGCCGCAGAATCGCTGTCTCCTAAAAAGTTCACCAATATTCCCTTTCGAACCAGTAGATCCACGTCATGGCTTGTGTTTACTAGAACGTCTAGAACTACAATATAATCAGTAATGTAGGACTTATAAGGATAATGACACTGCTCTAAAGCTACCATGTTGCGAAACACAAGTTCAGAAGTATCCTGTACAAGCAATTGCGGGATTTCAAGAACCGATTTTGTAAATTTCAAATCCAGTAAACATTTACTTTCGGTTACCTTAAACCTTACTCCTGCTTCTGACAACTCAGTAGCACTGGGAAGATGTTTCAGCAATTCGTTGCTCCTTGAAAACACTTCTTCTTCTCCCGAAGGAAGTTTTAAGTGAAAGAATCGTATCAGATCAGTGAAGTGTTTTATCTCGTTATTGTTGACAAAAGTCAACTGGGATCTATTGAAATAGTCAAAAAACCTATACGTAAGCTCGATGAACGAAGGGATGTTACAATTACGACGATATGTAGAATCATAGCTGGCCGCAAATTGGGAGGATATAGAATAGAGATTGTCAAGGACATAAAAGGGAAGTTGATTTTCAAGCAACAACAAATCATATAGCATGATATCGTCTAACCATGGTGCTGAAAAATTGATGTCATCATTTAACCCATTGTCATAATATTTTCTCCAAAAGAGTTCAAGTATAAAACCGCAATCCACAAAGATTATCTCTAGCAGTTTCTTCTTGTCGAACACAAGTGTGCCTGAGTAACAACTGCGAATTTTGGGCTCCTCACCTTCAATGTAGCTGATCCACCTTTCCGATGTTGTATTGGTTCGATCAAGATATGACTTGCAATACATTATTTTGTGACTTTCCATATCTCGAAGGCGATCGATGCTGTCGTGGTGAAAAGGGCCAATAGAAACAACCTGTGGGGTGTAAGCATCTTCGTTGAGTTGGCGAATATTTAAGGGTACTCTGTAGATGCAACACTCATTAGTTATGAGAGACTTTCCTTTCTCCAACAACTTTTTAATATCGATCTCTACATCATCATTGCTCATCTTTTTCCAGTAATTTCTGAAACCAGAAACCAAAATGGGGAAGGAATTAAAATGATGACATTAAGAAATAATCTAGCAGTGGGGAATTATGATATATATTACCTGATTGGCGATGAATGTGCAGTGTTTGGGGTTTGTTAAATAGAGGAGTGAAGTTCACCCATACCTGCCGAGTTATTAGTAAACCACGCATTCATAATAGTTTTAATATCCACAACAACCAATATTTTAGTACAATGATTGACCAAGACAAAACCACCCATTCATAATACTTATCTTGTCTAGTAAGATATTTATTACATAAAATATCTTAGATATTTTAAACGGTTAAGATATTTATTTGTAACTAA